CACTTTGAATAGACCCCTTTGAAATGGGCCACTTTGAATAGAACCCCTTGAAATGGGTCACTTTGAATAGACCCCTTTGAAATGGGTCACTTTGAATAGACCCCTTAGCAGACCCCTGAGAGGAATAGCCCACTTCCGAGATATGCTTCGTTGGTCAAACACAGAGGTTTTTTCTACCTGTAGCAGTTCAAAGGCAGCCAATAGTTCACCAGCATTTTCTTCTCCACGACAGACTTGAAACCATTCCAGGGCAGGAGGAAAGAAAGGTTTCTCGTACGGTTCACAGGCCATCTTGACGATGGGACGAGCAAGAGCACGACCAATGAACTCTGAGTCTCCCTACACCAACACAAATATGAATACTGAATTAGCGGAACGTTCGCGGTCATGGAGAGCTAATGGAAATTTGTGAATTGAAATTTTGAAAAAATGTATGGCCCATCCTCAACCTGATTTTTTGTGAAAGCTGATGATTTCAACCATAATGCGAGTCTTTCTGTTCATCAGAACTTTGGTAATTCCCCAAAAAATCAATTTTATCGAGCCCTAAAATAACCTCTGGGTTGTGTCAGAGCATGGATATAACTAACAGAACAAACCCTGAAACAACCTCTGGGCTGATCTAAGTCAGGGCACGGTTAACTCACAGATAGAACCCTGAAACAACCTCTGGGCTGATCTAAGTCAGGGCACGGTTAACTCACAGAACAAACCCTGAAACAACCTCTGGGCTGATCAAAGTCAGGGCACGGCAAACTCACAGATTGAACCTGAGACAAACTCAGGGATGATCTAACGGCTAACCCATACAGATAAAATTTGAATTTAGTGTGCTGGGTAACGCATAGTAGCTACCTTTCAAGGACGTGGTTAGTATTAAACTCACCCCAATATCTTTATCAAAGATCTCAATCACAATAGTAGGTGGATTGACTGCGATTTCGTTCACGTCTCCCCACAATACCACTTCCTGGAATATCAGTGTCTGGTCCCAGGTAGGGCTTCGAGTCTCCCAGATAACCCGCGTGTCACTGACGAGATGTGTGAAGATAACTCGACCAAAAGCGTCTGATAAACCAGAGGCGTCGCTGCCGATCAGACTTCGTGCTTGGTAAGTATGCGCACGTAGGATGAACTTCTGTTTTTCTGTTAAAAAATGGGTTATTTGGGTTAATAAATTAAACTATACTGATAATCTTGTAATATATAATTTGTCCGAGTCATTTTTTGATGTTCAGATTAAAAAACAGGTTGAATTAGCGACAAACCTTCAATGGAAATGCTAGTTAGATACAGCCACTAGTAAGCTAATCATACCTGTGTAGATGAGATGGTTCGGAGGAGGCGCCATCAACTTGTGCGCATTTTTGGGCTGAAGAGAGGAAATATCAAAGTCAGAAACCATTAACTTAAAAGAAAACTACATAATAACACAAAATTATACAGTACAAGCAGTTTGACATTAAATTGAGGCAAAGAGGTCTATTTTACTGTACAGAGCCCTTAGCCTCGCTTCCACGGAAACCCAGGGGTAATATTTTTTCGCTAATTTCTCGATGAAAAAAGGGACAGAATTTTACTAAGAATGCGCTTCGGGATCGTTCATTTTCTTACGGGCATGTACGGCTGGTGAGATGTTGTGGATTGCGAGCAAAAAATGTTTATGTGRCCCCCTATTACAACAGGATAAATTATTTTATAAATTTTATATTTAGTTAATTGTTTTGGGGGTGCCCCCCTTAAATGCCATTTTTTTACGTGCCCCCCCCCCCCCCCCCCCCCCCCCACCCCCACTGCCCCCCCCCCCCCCCCCCCCGCCCTTAAAAAAATGAGCGGTCCCTTACTGAACAAACTGAAAGATTGCAGACTGTACCAACAGCTTCTGACTGTACTTACTGTCTGATATCCTTTGGGAGCATCTTTGAGGTAGTCTTTCTTGTGTTTGTGAAGGCCCAGCCATATCATGATGTTGAGCTTGGCTTGAATGGCCCATCCTTTTGGTCCATCCCCTCGCTTACCTGGCAACTAATCCCAACAACAAAAATGCCATGATGAGCTTACTATATTTATGCCTCTAAAACAGTGGTATTTGGTAAAGACCCCTTGCAATGACTCCCGAGAAGAATTATCCTGGATGTTTTTTGCATAAGATAAGACGGCCTATTGTCTTGTCCCGAAGAACGAATCGTCTATTAAATAAGACCCCGTCCACACATATCTGTTTTTTTATGAAAACGCAACTTTTTCTTTGCGGATTGGCCTTCCGTCCACACGTATCCGACACCGAAAACGGACATTTTGAAAATGCTGAAGTCACGTTATTGGAACCAGTCTCAGAACAAGCCATATTTATGATGAGCGCATGCTCTATGATGCTAATGAGTTCTCGAGTCGCATTTTGAGGATACGTGTGGACGGGTAAAAACGATCTGAAAACGGTATGTGTGGACGGAAAAATATCTATAATGGATTAAAGAGTTTTCGTTTTCATGCAAAAACGGATACGTGTGGACAATTCTTAATGTCCATTTCAGGCTCTTTTGGGGGGAAGTGGAGGGGAGAGGAGAGAGACCCTCCCCCTTCCCCTCCCTTTTCCCCTGTCCCCGAGCCCCCAACCCCTCCCCAGGCATCCCGAAGGGTCATTCGTCCCCAAATTCATTGCCCCTGTAACATTCGTGAAACGATTCGCAGAGAGAAACCCTATAAACTGGTAAGAAGAGAGCAAGAGAGCACATTCAATTCACATTCAAGTAACAGTGAAGTCTCGTTATCACTACTCAAAGATCATATCCTCTCTATATAAAATGTTAAGTGACACGAATCAATGGGACGCGACCTAAAGTTTATGATATCCAAGGTTTGAGTTAACAGGACTTTACTGTATTTCATATTATGTTTTGGTGTCGCCTACCCTGAGGAACACCGTCTGCATTCTTCCAGAGTCCTTTCCTCTCTCTTCTTCTACCAGAGAATAAACGATGTTCTGTGCAGGGATCCTTGAATAGGCAACTCGCTTGCCACCACAAAGCATCCAAATAAACACGTCAGGGATGGTGTCCTGAGGCTAACGAAGAACAAGAAAAAGCTATTAGTATGCACTCTTTCCATCCCACTACCTCAACCCAACCATAGGCGCAGGCACACTCTTTCCACCCAACCACTTTATCCCAACCACAGGAGCAGTCGTGGCTCACCAGCTGAGCGGTGAATTTTGCTTTAGCCAATCACAGCGTGTTTAGCTGTTTTGCCGCTTGTCCTCATTCTCAGCCTACTTTAACCCAATTTTTGAGTATTTTTCTGTTTTCTTTTGACTAAAATATAATATACATGCCTACAAGAAGCAGAAATATAGAAAAAAAGAATTCACTTTACCGCCACGTCTGCTTTGTTCTTTCAAGCTTCAAACATGTTTAGGGCCAGTCATTTTGTCCACTCATGCTTTGCGCGCCGCGTTCACCGCTCAGCTGGCAGTTGGTTAGTGCGGAGTTAAAGGTCCACGTGTTTTTCGACTTTTTCTCCTTGTGGAAATAACATCTTTTGCCATGCAAAAAAAACTGCCCTTGTCCGCCGTGAAATCAATTTTTTATGTTTTTTGTTGTTGAATATTTTAGGGAGGAACATTTTAAAACTGAACAGAATAATGTCAAGCCATTCAAAAGCAAAGTATCTTATGCACAGTGTAGCATTAGTCCTTCTTACCTCTACAGCGATGTTCAAAAGTCTCTGTAAAAGAGCGTTGGCGGCTTTCAAATTTTCTTTGATGTGTGAGTCATCTTTGGTGCTGGCTTTGAGTTCTTGGGCTGATGAACACACAGACTCCACTTCGTACTGGCAGAGCTTGAGTCTTTCTTGGTCTAGTTTGGTTCGTCCCACATGGGATGCTGTTGGCATGGACTTGATCAGGTTCAGGTATTGGCTAGATAAAATAGCATCCGTGACGTCGTTAAGAGGATCAGTAAAAACAATTTCAGCGCTTTTCAATCACGCGCGAAATCGTACAATTTGCCGTCGCGACGAAATAGGATTTTGGTAGACGTCAATCAAAGTGTTTCCATGACATCGTCGAAAAAAAACCAAAGTTTTCAAGGCCACGTGCCTATGAAATGTCATGGAAACGCCTTGATTGACATCCACCAAAATTGTACGATACGTTTCCAAGCCTTCTCAAGGGAATCATGAATGACAATGAAAATGAAACATTTTTACAACTTACTTGCAACCATTGGTGAGTTCGGAAAGTACTCGGCTCAGCCATCGGAAGGTATTCGGCAGGTCCATTTTCACCCTTTCCATGCAGTCTGTCAATCCATCCTCCTGAATATAAAACAAGCCAGTATCTTATCGATATGATATTGTACACACAGTCTGGTAGAGGGAATGGAATCAACACGGTTCATAAGAATATAAAAGGAAATAAAAGGAAATCTCGGTTGGCCTTTTACTCTAGAAAATATGATAAAATCCAAAAATATTTGGGATAAAACGGACTTTGAGCATTTAAACGATTTTTATAGTTTTGAAAAAAAAACAATGACCTTAATATAGTATTAGCAGAGACCCAGTACTATGGAAATCACTAGAGTGGTAAAACATCCGTTGGAATGCACGTCTCGCGGCGGTAGATTTATGTACCACGTGATGAGATTTTTGTGTACCACGGGACCATGTTTGAGAGCATGCCATTGTAGTAGCGTTCGATAGAAAAATGGGCTTCAAAGCGGATGATCAAGCAGAAACGTTAAAGATAAGTTCACTATTGCAAACTTGAACTATTGTCACGATTATCTGGACTACATGCACTAAGTTAATCTGTTCAAACTGAATATTTTCGACAAGACCGGTATTTCTTTTTATGACTGCAACACGCGCTACGGCTACTCACTCCAGACAGTTTTATCCTCACGTGGTACACAAAAATCTCATCACGTGGTACATAAATCTACCGCCACGAGACGTGCATTCCAACGGATGTTTTACCACTCTAGTGATTTCCATAGTATTGTAATTCTCTTTTCTTTGTGTGTGTGTTTGTTCATTTATTATTTCTTTACCTTTATTATTAAATAATGTGATGTCATGTAGAATAACAATAAAGCATTATTGAAGAAGAAGAAAGAAGAAGAAAAAAACGGTTCATAAGAAGGCGATAAAAAATGATTCCCTAGAGAATCATTTCTTTGTTTAATGGTTGCACATGAGAAGACACTTGAATATGGATACGACTCAAACAAAGATTCTTATTCTCAAGAGAATGACACGTGGTCTGAAACAGGAAAACATTACGCCCAAGGTATACAGGTATTTATGGATACAACTCAAACAAAGAATATTGATCTCAAGAGAATGACACGTGGCTTGAAATGGGCAAAACATTACACCCAAGTGGATAAGGTACACTTGGAATTTCAGTGTACGAATAGGCCACCCCGTAGAAATGAAACTGCGAAATTCCCATCCTAAATTCCCAAGTACAAGCCTTACTCACCAGTCTTTCACAGATTTTCAGGAGTACATTTGAGTTATACAGACGTCTTCGATGATCTTGCCACATGAACTTGATGTGTGTACAGGGCTTGGAATCTTCCCAAGGGATGTGGTAGTAGGTACGATCGTTGGTGACTGGTCTGACGGGAGGGGTTAGGGAATGAATGAATGGGTTATCACCATCACGACGATCTTCTTCGCCGACCTTAAGAGGGATTAATAGAATGTCATGATAACTGTTTATTCATGATAACTGTTTATGACCTCGATTAATAAAGCATACATTACTGATCTGCGAAGCCAAAAAAAAATTCATGAAAAGTGTTCTAATCCTCATCACCTCACCATAACACTACCATCACTGTCACCATCCTCATTATCACCTCACCACGCCACAGCACACCAAAACACAGCCATCATTGTCACCATCCTCATTATCAAATCACCACACCACACCACTCCACATGGCACTACACAATAACATTACCATCACTGTCACTATCCTCTTTGTTAAATCACCACACCATAACACTACCATCACTGTCACCATCCTCATTATTAAATCACCACACCACACCACACCACACCACCGCACTACCTTCCCTTTCGCCCTCTTGATCAACGTACCAATAATCTACCATCACTACTATCTTTATCTTCGTCTCATCCCAACCACTATTACCATCATCATCATCCTTACAACATTGCTACAACACCCGCAACATCATTCAACTGAAACATCAGCAGCAGCAGATCGTCACCAAATCATCTTCGCACACTAAGGATTGGTATAATCGTAATTCAAGACATCCTCTTAAAAATGTTCTCATTTACCTCATCATTGATGGGCTGTCCGTCAATCGTATTACCCCAGTTTCCAATGCTCATTTCAAAGCCAATCATCTTGTCCCCACATTTCCTGTCGATCATACTGGCTTCGTAGAAACAGGCGAACAGCTGGAAATGTTCCTCTTTACCTGCTGCAGTCTGAAAGACAAATCAAAGCAGTTGAATTGAAGCGAGTTTGGGGGAAAAAGGTTTTACGTCCCTTGTTTCACCCAAAAACTTAACATTTGCTGCATAGACTTTGAACAAAAGACAAAAATGTGTTTAGGGATTTCCTGGGGCTTCAAAGGCAAAGGAACCTATTCTCTTTGGAAGTAAATGTCGTCCTATTTCAGTCCTCATGTTATTTCCTTGAGTGTTATTTTCGTTGGCCAATAACGGTTCAGAAGGTACATCAACAGAATGAGAAGGAAACAAAAACATCTTATTCCCAGGAGGTTTGACACGGGAAAAACATAGCCCAAAGAAAAATGTTCAGTTCTTGTCAACAAAACCAGTGTTACATTAATTAAATTCCTTCCTCGTTACTAGTGTCTGTGACGCAACGTTTCTCTTCTAACGTGGGGAGGGAAACATTGCGTGACATGAATTAAATTTCCCCTTTTCACGTTAGCCTCCTACGTAGCCGTTACTAGTATGTCGCGCAACGTTTCTCATTGCGTGACAGACCCTAAGAATGTCTACGTAGGAAGCTACCCTCACATTAGATGTGACAAATGTTTAATTCCTTACATCAGAGATGGGTGGGGTTGGCTCAACTTCTACTTGACGAATACCAGATTCTGAAGCAGATTCACCAAACTCGGCATGAACAGCCATCAAGATACGTCCCCTGAAAGCAACGCCTTCGCCCTGGTAGAAAATATGGACAACAAACCTTCTAAGTTGCAGTGTTTCTCAATGACACGCACGGAATTGTACAAATTGAGGTCATGAAAATATAGGGTTTTGATCAATATCAATCTTTTTGCGGTTTGCGAGATCCACATATATCTCACGCTAAAAGTGTTGTTAAGGTGTAAATAGTAGAGGGAGTTTGTACTTCGTGCAACAATGGAAATCTTGTGGCGCGCAGATAGTTTTTGCTCTGCTCGCAACAATGCAACACAATGTTGCGCAATTAAATTGCCCGTATTACTGTTGTTTTGGTCAGTATCGTACATTTCCCACTCACACGAAAACCACTCTAAGACTATAGTCACGTGATTGTGCGAACCCTTTATCAGTTATTTTTTGCAACATAAAGAATGATAATTTTTACCAATCCATTATTGAGATCGTTGTGCTCGTCAAACAGCGAGTAATCACGTGTTGAGCCGTACAGGTTCACCCAGGAGGGTCCAAATGTCGGCATGAATCCTGTCATCAAAACGAATGATACAACAATAAGACAAACAGTAATAAGTTAAGACAGCTTACGTGACACTAATATAACATGGATTGCGTGACACTGATTTAACTAAAAGAAGCCGGGGTTGGTTGGTATTCAAAGCAAAGATTGTGTGACATCATTTGAGGTGGGAAGGGTTTCCTAATCTCTAAGAACTACTCTCACATGTTCCTGAATAAACTTTCATATTTAAAAAAATTAAATAAAATGAAAATAAAATAAATCTATTTATATCAGTTTGTATCACACAACCATTGCTGAAGAAACCTTATCAAAATATTTAAGTAATTTTACTGCAATTTTCATAAACATGCCAACTCTGTGTCTGTGAGCTGCACGCTAAAATTTGTTTTTTCGCTGCTGTCAGTCAAAAATATGAAAGGCACCGACTGATTAGGTTTGATTGACAGCGAAAAACCAATTTTCAGGGTGCAGCTGGCAGACATCGAGTTCGCATGTTTGTGAAAATTACAGTAAGTCATACAGCTATAACTCATATCCTTTTGCATAAATCACAATAACTGTAACTATAAACATTCTTATCCCGATAAAACGTATTTCTGATCATTGTCACTTAATGTTTATCACTTTTGTTGTATTTTTGTCCTTTCCGATATGAGGGAATGACCTTGGATTTTTTTTTAATTGAGACTCGAACTGACAGTTTTTGAGGACAAATTGATTACTTTAACAGTGAAATACACTTTCAGGTCATAAATTTTCCGTGAATATCACATCGAAGTCAGTGGCCTCGTGGTCAGTGCGTTTGCTTCTGCACAAAATGATTCAAGCCACGAGGTTGTGTCCGATCTTATTGGTTGTTTGTTCACAAACTATTGGGTCACGTGGTTGTGTCCGATCTTATTGGTTTGTTCACAAACTACTGGGTCACGTGGTTGTGTCCGATCTTATTGGTTGTTTGTTCACAAACTACTGGGTCACGTGGTTGTGTCCGATCTTATTGGTTGTTTGTTCAGAAAATATCGGGTCACGTGGTTGTGTCCGAACTGATTGGTCAATTTGAGCTCAAAATATTGGGTCACGTCGTTGTGTTCGATTTGATTGGTTGGTTTGCATTTCAAGTATTTGGTCATGTGATCATGTTCGATATGATTGGTTGGTTTGTGTTCAAAATAAAGGCTGTGTTCATTTCGATTGGTTGGTTTGTGTTTGATTTGATTGGTTTATTACTTTGATTGGCGTTTGCCAATCTGATGGCATGTCTGATTGGTTCGTGGTATAACGGCGTTTTGCCGCATCAGATGTGATTTCGAAGTCTTGTTACTGAGTTGATAAATGTACCGCGAGTTACAGACCAATAGAAATCATGCAAGCCATGCAATACAATATTATAAATAACATGCAATATTAGTCCATACTGCACACTTATAAAGGCAGTGTTTTTTTTTTCCTTTCAACGAAGGTGTTTCTATCGTAGCAAAATGACGGTATTATAGAATTAAGTATAGACGTAAGATAAACTAAACGGGGTATTTCATGATGATTTAAACAGGCAGAACAGACTATAGGGGAGGGATATAGTACAACTAATTATAGATAATATAATGAAGATAGTTATTAGGATATATTACATATATATATATATATATATACCAATAGCCATAAAGTATTAGCCTAATAAGGAAAAATAATAACTCATAATATTATATAATATTATTACAGTAAAAATTATAAGTATTAAAGATAAATTTTAACAAATGAGCAATGTCAGACAAAAATTACTTGTTTAAAAAACAATATCATTTGATACATTTGTTTAGTGTTTTTTTTTCGATCAAAACTCAGTGATTAGGTCGCATTTCAACTTCATTTTTTCCAAGTCCAGTAGCTCCTATCGCCTTCCCCTAAGTATACTAAACAAATGTACCAACGTAAACATAAAATCAATAATAAACAAATAATCAACAATATTTATCTTGTAGTTACCAATATCTGTAGGATATCTATGGACTTGAATCGCCGATGTCACCCACGTGTTGCACAGTGAACACCAGCAAAATCAACATAAAAACAAGAGCAAAAACCACAAAAAAAGAACATTCATTGAGAAAGGTTTTCTATATCAATTGAGTTGCCATTCTATAGTTCATGCAGTGATTAATCTCACCCTTCCTACCCGTTTAAGGATCAGTTTGACTTCAAGTCGATGCGCATGCGTATTAACAAAGACAGACCTATTCACACTTTATCGTTCCTTGAGCCTGCATTCCTCTTGGTCTCTACCAAGACAAACGCATGCTCACTGTCGTTTCACTTTTCTTTCACTCCTTGTAGTTATGGCTACCATACAGTTGAACCTTCTCACACGGAAAGACGGAAGGAGATCGCAAAAAAGCCCATTTTACCGTTGGCAAAAGAATGAGAGAATTATGCGAAAGAAGTCAATTGGTTCGCAACAAGGTTCCACGAATATGACAATTTTCTCAAGGCTCACTTCGATAATTTTCGCTGTTTCTAAAGTCTTCAGTTTAATTTTCTTATCAAATCGGGTAAAAGAAGTTCAGTGAATGCCAACCAATTTTATCAATTTCTCAGACTCATTCAGGTCACAAGCGAACAATTATGTACTTTCCACACCCCGTGAGCAGAGAAATGTAACCACACGCATGCCTACAAACCCTCGGTTCTAGTCAGTGCAGTGCATCCTAAGCGTTCGTGACCAGAACGATTACTTGGGAACTAAGGGGCCGTTTACATGATACCGAAATGAATTTCGTTCCGATAAGAGAATGAATTTACATGATAAAAGTTCAACTCCGATCGCATGACATTACCGAACCTGCTTTTATATGATAATACGCATGCGTCACTCGTTCCCGCAGTCTCCCCAGAGAGCGGTTTCATTCCCGAATGAGTGTTCTTACCATTTACACGAAACTGGTATAGAATGTCGTTCGGTAATGAAACCCGGGATGAACTTATTCTAGAATGGACTCATTTCGTTGCGAAATTTTGCCCTGGTATAAAGTAAACATATACAATGAAATACATGGCAACCGGGACGAAGTAGTACTGGAACGAAACTAATTATGGTATCATATAAACGGCTCCTAAGTCTCCAGTTAGCGAGGAATGTAAATTTGGTAAAATGACTACAATCCTGGACATATCTTATGAGACAAATACACATCCTGTCTTCATTTTCACAACTCTAATACCTAAAATATAATGTATTTTCTCTCTCCTATTGTCCCCCCTGATCATCGCGTGGAGCTGGAGGGAAAAGAATTAATTAAAGAGTCCTAGTCAACTATAATGCATTGCGCGCCGAAAACAATGAAATGTTAAGTACAGCACAATTTTTCTCTGCCAGGCAAAATGGCAGTTTTGTAGGTAAAGTTTGGGAATCCAGTTCCATCGATCTTGTTATTCCTGCTAGATGTGTTATGACCATCGTTATATAATGGTATATAGTCACTTAAAGCTTTTTGCGAGATTTGAGAAATTTTGGCAACGAATTTAAGGTAGACTTTTGAAAGTCGTGATTTCTAACAGTTGGACGACCGAAAATCATAATTTCACGAAGAGAAATGAATGTGGAATGAAAGGAAGGACATTTTGGGAATTTGACAACATTGGCATAGTGAATTTGCAGATTTTACTCCACCCGTGTATGGAAGAGCTTCGAGTACAATTTAGGCGAACGATGCAAACAATAACACAGGGGCGCAGTGCATTGTAGTGGACTAGGATTCTTTAAGCACGCGAAAATAATGCTATTTTCCTGAAGTAATTTGTCCAGGATCGTAGTCCTTTCACGTGAACTAGTTTATAGGGATGGGGGTGGAGTAGGTATAGTTTCTGGTTACTAGCTGTGCTAAACAGTGTCACATGGTGCGAAGTGAAGTCGTGTAGGGACTAACAATAACGTACTATGAATCCACTCCTTTGGGGACGATCCTTGTGGGATTGCATCAAGATGTTCACGTGACGAAAAGTAAACAGCTGACTTTTGATCGAGGAAAGTGTACGCTAAGACGTGGACAGTAGTAGAAGCATGGTGTAGAAGGTAAAAGAGTTTTAGATGGTTTAAAACAGGTTTTTAACAAGTTTGAGACAGGCTTTGAACAAGTTTAAAACAGTTTTTAACAAGTTTAAAACAGGTTTTGAACAAGGTTTTAAAACAGGTTTTAAAACAGGTTTTGCAGGGTATTCTCAAGTTAAATGTTTAGTTTTAAATATTTAAAAGTGTTGGAGTTATTTTCAAAGCTACCCAAAAGAGAAATTTCTGTCTTGAATGAATATGTTTTGAAAAGAAGTCTTAGAGGTTTAGACACCTAAAATGGCAGCTACGTTTTGGAAAAGACAAGCCAAGCCACAACAACATCAGGAATGATAGAAAGATTTTCTAAGAATTTTGGGACTCATGTGAGAAACTGTTTGTTAAAGGTAGCTCTGTATTCTGGAAAAAGGACACCAAAATACTTGCACAAAGACATGAGTTTAGAGAGTTTTTACAAAGGGATGGAGACATATGAATGCTAGAAGTATAGATGGCAACACAGAGAGAAAACGAAGAAAGAAATATTTTTGAAAAGTTTTGAAAAGTTGTTGTGGTTTTGAATTATTATTTGCTTAGCGGGAAGGACTTAATGGCTCACACAGTGGCTATATCGTAAACAAATACTTTCTCAAATGATCTTTCTAGTTTTCAGTCACAGAAGGAAAATGAGAAAAACTTGTTGGAAAAAAAGAGCCAAAGAAAAAAAAAAACACCGCATTTTTTCTGTTCTTAAATAGCCATGGTGTGGCCAATTAACTGGAAACATAACGGAGTAGAATTGGCATATTATTAAGGTTAATGATTTAGACTACAAGTGGTGACTGAAAGCTCTTGCACGCTACAGGAAGTTTTTTTATGAATCTATGTACTAAGAAAAGTGCTTTTTAGTTTAGATCTAGAAAGGAGTAGGAGTCTTGCATGATCACAGACTGGAACCAGTTGAATCACTTTCTCAAAAATTAAAGTGAATCAAGATGGCCGCTAGCATTTGATCGAGCAAGGTTCCCTTTTCTAATGACAGGATACTAGATAAATATTTATTCCAAGAAGAGCGGGTGATTTTACAATTCTATTCCTTGTGCAGGTAACAGATGATTCAGTAGAATTAATTTTACCCTTAAGAACCGAATTTTTTCCTACCATTTTTTCCCTTCTACTTTTTCGAGAAAAGCTTTGCGTTCCATCGGTTCTAATCCCCCGCCCTTCTAACAGTCTAAGACATCTAGACTAAGTATAGGAAACCGCACGATCTCGAGTACAATTCGGAATTTATAGGTACGAGTGATGTTTTGAAAGTGTTCAAAATTGGATGAGCCTTTAGGCGAGTTCAATTTGAGAACTTTTAAAACATCACCAGTATCTATAAATTCCGAATTGTACGAGAAGATTGTGCGATTTTTGGTTTATAATACACTCAAAAAATTGAGCATCTTAATTGGGACTCTACAAAGTACAATTTGGGATTTAATTGTACTCCTCTTGTCCAATAGGAATCGAGTAATTTTGTAGAGTGTATTGTAAGTGGTATAATAAAATATGAGTCGCTTATTCAGGTAATAACAATATGGAGTTAGAATGAACAAGTTAAGAGTGATATACACATGATACCTAGATTAAAAATAACAGACAGACAGACAAACACAAGGAGTGAATACACACCAGGAGCTTGAATGGAACCAGGAACTTTAATGCCTGAGCCTGGAATATACACTTCATATAGCCAGCCTGTATAGTTCAGCGAGCCCACACAGTTAAAACATGGTGCACTATATCCTAACAGCTTAGTCACGTCTCTTGAGGCATATTACTCAGTAGGGGGGAGGGGGGTTGAAATCACTGAAGGCATGGTATTTATTAGCCATTCCGAGGTTGAGGGAAAAAACTGGGTTGAGTTGGCATTGCAGTGCATTGTGGGACAGGGGACATATTACCATATTTCGTTCCCTAAAACAGCCCCAAGATGCATTGCAATGCCAACTCGACCCAGTTTTTTCCTCGACCTTGGACTGGCTAATATATTTAGCTTACTCTGAACTGATCTAAAAAAAATCCATCTTTTATATTGAGGCCACTCGAACAATAAGCGTTATCCAAATACGAATTTTAAATACAAGAAGGCACAAGATGAGCAATCAACTTTTGAATGGCCGTGACTTTTGCCATCACTCTCTTTTGATTTACGACTTTCACTAAGTAAAACGATACGACGAAAGACTGAGTTGCCCCAAGAGACAAACATTCCGTTCTAGAAACGCATGCTTGACAGCATAAACGAATAAATGACATGCAATCAATAGTTATCGAGTGCACTAAGGTGGATTACGTGCAGTGTAACACGAACAGCAGTGCAATACGAAACATGTATACACCCATTTTATGAATCCCACAATGTTTTATTTTTGACTTTGATGTCAAATTTATTCTTTTGAATTTTTTAAAAATGAAATCGACAAGAATAAATTTGACGTCAAAAGCTGGAAAAAAGCATCGTGGGATTTAATAAAAAGGTCTATACTGTGCATGTGTTCGAAGAGTGCATTTAATATGAACTGTATGATTACCAATAACAAATTTGTAAGGAAAAAGAATGATCAAATACTTCCAAAATCTGCGTATGAAAGGTATATGGATATGGCGTTACGGTAAAACATACTTATTTCGTTAGCTATGATCGTTATTATGATTTTTTTTTTTTGGTTTGTTTATAAAAGCTTTTTTATTTATAAATAAAAGTACGAAAGGAAGCGAAAATTATGCAAGAGTGGTTTCTCTAGTACTCAAAACAATCTCAGGATGTTTCATTTTCTTAGGAATTTAGTTGTATATTTTCAATTTTTAGTGTTTTTTCTATTTTGACATAGATACATTATTTACTATAACGTGCAAACATGTGTTTACCATTAGTACCCTTGCCACGTTAGCACGATTAGCACCAACACATTACATAAACAACATAAAAACAACAATAACATAACGACGACACCACAAACAAACATAACTCAGCAGGCATTAAAGTTCTGGAAACAAAAGGGAAGGAGCAAATAGCAGCCAAAACGAGATTAGTAATACTAAAAGAAAGAAAGAATAAAATAGGTAAAAGAGTTTCACTTTACAGAGCGTTTAATTTCACTTTCAGAAGCGTGTCGGCCATCTTGAAAAGCTATAGACCACGTGACTTACTGACTTTCTTGGGCTTGGTCACTTTTCAAGACGGCTTCCACGCCACTGAAAAATGTTATATCATTTTCCTTTGTTCCTCCCTATTTGCCACCATTCAGCCCTTAATTAAATATTACTCATTAGCGAGTTATAATAATATTGGAAAATATACAAATACGAATATACGAATTATCATCAAAAAATCAGCATTTCTAAATTTCAATTCAATCAGGAGATATTCTCGATAAGGTTAGCGTCTTCTATCTCCTTTTGCACTATAATGCCAATCAGTTATCTTTATTTATTCAATTATTTTCACCTCAACGAGGGCAACCACAAGATAAAGAAAGTAAAGAATTGAAATAAGAAAGATTACGGCTTTGATAACGTAAAGTCCGGTTATAAGCCCTTTTAATCCTCTCTCAACTAACACCCCCATTCTATCCATTCCTCTCTTCCCATCCTCTTCCTGACTATCTATTTCCCAGTAGTCGAAACGTAACCAAAATCCTCCCACTGAGTTAACAACAACTAGGCTGCAATGTTATCCCGTCAAAAATTCATATTCTTAAACATAATAACCCCAGCGTGCAACCAGTGACCCGGTGATGTAATACTAAATGTGCTTCATCCCGGTTATAAGCCCCACACGTAATAGAAACTTATTTATGATAAAACCCATGCTCCAGCCGAAGGACTTATAACCAGGATTTTACGGTAACCTTTTCTAAACTAAAATAAATAAATTGTATTTTTATTATGATTACAATTCAGTTTTTAATTTAGTGATTAGATTTGCTGAGAAAAGTGAAATTATTTTGAAGAGTTTATAGAAATAGATATATATGGTAAGCTTCAGTAAAGACTTAAAGAGAGCGATGATTATGTTGGGTAAGTGTAAAGTTATGATCAAAGTCAAAAGGGAAAACGCAGATTTCACAAGAAATATCAAGGAAAAGATTTTTGAAGTAAGAAACAGTTACAAAACTCAAGATGTGATAAATTTTTGACATGCAGTTTACAGAAGACAAAAAGGTCATCAAAGACTATTTAATTGACGATCATCCCATTATGCGCACTGGATTGGTAGTATTAGCCGTCGAGGAAAAACCTGGGTCGAGTACGCATTGCAGTGCATTGTGGGCCTATTTTAGGAGATATGTTTCCAAGATGGCGTCTATTTCAGTCCCACAATGCACTGCAATGCCAATTTTACCCAGTTTTTCCCTTAGCCATGGAATGGCTAGTGCTATGTCAAAAGTTCATGATTTTCATCTGGAATGGCTAGTGCTATGTCAGACGTTCAGTGATTTTCATCTGGAATGCTTAGTGCTATGTCAGAAGTTCATGATTTTCATTTGTAGTCGTCTTGGTAAAGAAAAGATTAGCTGGTGCATTTGTCTTCAGGAATTTAGAAGTTTTTATGTCAAGATTACTAGAGGAGATTCTCGTTATGTCTTAAGAAAACAAAATAACCATGCAAAACGTAACAAGAAAGCAACCAAAGCAACCACATTAAACCCAAGCGACATGCTAGACTTTTATGTCAGGTTAATTAATTACCACAGTGCTAACGTCAAGTGTGAAGAGGAAATGTTACGTGTAATAGCGCTAAGAACGTGAAATAGATGGTGGAAATCGTTAAAGAAAACGTTAACATGAAATGATGATGTTAGGTCACGTGAGATGAAGTAATCACGTTAACTTCGGTTGTGGTGTAAAAGATGACGTACAATTTAGTTTGAGGCAGTCTGAATAGACCCTTTGCACAAATGTATTAATCATATGGAGAAAAGTACTAAGCCTCAGATTGACAAAACGTCCACACAAGGGAGGCTTGTGCCTATGAATAGTACAATTATGCAAAGGGTCTATAGCTAGCTTCTTAAAGTTTTTCAGCTAAGAAGCGAAAAAAGTAAGCTGTGATTCCATCAGGAGAAAAGTCGATGTTGCAGTAAAAGAAAGAAATCATGAACAAAATAATAAAGGAAGAGCTCAATAGAAATGACTAAGAAAGAGGGGAAAAAGACAGAACTGAACCTAAAGATACTCTGGGACGGACGAGTAAGTGACTGTATGCTTTTTGTTTGTTCCTGAAGTACAAATTCCGCGTGCCATGTCAAGCCTTGGCTACAATAAATTGTCAAGGCCGCGTTGGGTTGCCATGGCTGCAATGGGTTGCTATGGCCGCAATAAGTTGCCATGGCCGCAATGGGTTGCCATGGCTGCAATGGGTTGCCATGGCAGCAATGGGTTGCTATGGCAGAAATAAGTTGTCATGGCAATCTCAAGCAAAAAATCAAAATCGTCTGATGATTTTTGACGTTTCTACTTCTTTGCTCATCATCACTGATTGACTCAAGTGATTCGAACTAACAATGACAGTGGACTATTTAACAAACAAATAGAAAGGCCAAAAGTATCATCAAACGTTATTCAATAAAACTTTTTAAACTCCACCGGCTTCTGAATCAGGGGGAGCTCCCCTAGCTTCCCTAAATCTCGATTTTTTTGTTGAATTTTTTAAATATTATCTTACTGTTTTTTTTTTTTTGTTTGTTTACTTTTTGTTTCAGGCAGTTCTAAACCTGTAAATATGGCGGGAAACTCTAAAGATTAAACGCGTGCGCGTGTGTATTGGCGGGAAAATGGTACTTTACTTTCCCTATGATCGAGACTTCGCTATTCCCCTGCCTTGTTCCGTAATCTTTACTTTCCCTGGAACTGACTGAGAATCGATGAAACAGRTTGAACACAAGAGAAATACATGAAGATTGTGATTTACCGAGTATGTAGGTTCATTTGATTGATTGGTAATCCCAAAGCACTGGTGGAGTTTAAAACTGAATAAGTAAAATATCACCAAGTAAAATATGAATAAAAGACAAGATATTTGCCTACCATTTGCGCCATCGTTTGAGATCCTTGACAGATCGATGTAGTGAGTACCAATCACTTCATCATTGACTGGGTCACTGAAATTACATGCATACAGACATTAAGATACATGCTACATCTCTAGTCAGCTTCCTGTCTTGACAGTGGCATAAGCAAGAGGGGAGAAAGAGGTGAGCGAGCGCTCCCACAATTTTTTCACTAAACCTGTGGATATGGCGGGAAACTCTTAAGATGAAACCCTTGCGCATGCGTATTGGCGGGAAAATGGTACCTTAATCCTTCTACGACCAAGACCTGCAACGCCCCTGTGTCTCGGTATGTATGGTCTTACCTGTCTTTAAGCTGTATTTTGATTCGACGACAAAGAGGTGGGAACTGAAAACCAAATAGAATGCAAAATAATTATAATAAGAATAGAAAAAATTTCAATCGTTGATCGTTGCTGACAAGCTGGAGTATTCAGCGTTCGCTTGTTCGCTCTTTCGTTTGTTTGTTTATTTCTGTGCGTCGTACTTTTTAAGATCTGTACAGCTGTAATCTTTGATTGTCTGCCGGTCCTTGCTTTTGACTTGACTCCAACTATTTGTCTATCGATCTCTCGTTATGACGGATTGAATGTTTTGGTTATGTGTGTCTCGACTGTCTGTCGGTCTGTCTGTTTTTATTTATTTAATTTTTATTTTAACATACCAGTTCTGAGAAGACAACTTGTTCGTTCCATTTTGGATCATAGGTGCCTTTCTTGACCGTGGTTCTTGCCTGCAAGACACACAAATTCAACGTTAAGCATAATGTAATAAGTAATATTTTACCAGCTCTTGTTGCAGTTCTTACCTTATGTCCCGCAAAAGAAACCTCCACGTATGGATTAACAAGATCTCGCACCTTGAAAAGAATAAAAGAAGATATAATGAGTAAACTGAAGTCTGCAATAGGACGTTTGAATGATGGCGTCATTTGACTCCCACTACCATAAAGCCCCGTTTACACTGGCGATTTTTGCGGCGATTTTTGTGGCAATTTTCGGAAATATGAAATCTTTTGTCTCATCCTTC